GCGAGCCCTAGATACGTGCAGCGCCCAAGCAGAACTCGAAGATCGTCGCCCCGCACGGTCCGCAGCTGCAGCGCCCCGCAGATCGCCTGCCGTGCCCTCCAGAGCCGCTTCGGCATGGGCCGAGTCTGGCACTTCTGGCCGCCCAGTGCGACCACCGGCACCTCGACCCCCTCACGGCGCACCTCGCGCCCGTGGACCTCCAGCCCCGCCGCCTCGAACGCCTTCGCCAGATCGCCCAGGCAGTGACTGGTGAGCTCTCCGTTCTGGCCGATCACGCACATGGTGTCCACGCGCGCGGACTGCCCCGCCTGGTCTGTCCCGCAGGCGAGCCCCAGCGCCAACGGCTTCCCCAAGTCGCTCAGCGGGGTGCCGTCGCGCAGCCCCGAGGCGAACTTGCACCTGAGCTCGGTCGCGCTCTGGCGCAAGCACAGGCCCCCCGTGCGGCCCATCGGCAGCGCCTCGGGGATCGGGTAGATCAGGTCGTCGAACTGCACCAGCTGGCCCTCCGACATGGCACCGCGCAACCCAACGTCGCCCGCCTTAGCGGCGGGCAACCCGAAAACCCACTTCATCCAAGGGGGAACCGCACGCGGTGGAACGCGCCCTTCACGTCCGCGGCACCTATCGAGAACTCCACGTCCGCCAGCGCCGCCTGCTGAGCCGCCTCCAGGCGGTCCATCGCGCCCCCCCAGCTCCTCGAACTCGAGAACCGACAGACCCTCTGCTGTCAGTAGCTGCGCTGAGGGCGGGTCGATCAGCCACGGATGGCCCCGCCGACGATCAAGAACCATGCGCGTCTTCTCCCTTCCCTTCTTCCACGCAGAGAAGATGCCGCCTCCGAGACCTAGCGCGCGAACGGCACCAACCCGCGCCGGGCAAGGCCCCCCGCGCAATCGCCGCACCTGCGTCGGCTCCGTGCCAGCGCCGGCTCGCTGAAGGGAGCCAGCGGACAGCGCTCCAGCACCCGGCGCGCGCTCTCACGGTCGCTCGCCCTGCCCCTCCGCGCAATGGCGCGCTCGTCCCTGAAGATGCCCCTGCAGCACAGGCGACTCATCTATGCTATCAGGGAGCGACGGAAGCCCAGGTCGGCAAGGGGCGAGCACATCCTCGGGAGGACCACCCAGGCACGGCGATCTCTCACGCATCATCTCTCGCAAAGTTGAACGCGGCCGTTGCATCGCATGATGCATGTCTCTGACAGCGGCCCTGTGAAAGACCCCGCGGAGGCCCCCGCCTGCCAGTTGAGGTTCTGCACCGCCTCGTTTAAAACAAGGTCGCGTAGCCGCCGCCGCGTGCGACTGCCTTTGCGGCCCGACGCCTGTCGGGTCGCCCGCGCGTCTCCTTCAGCGGAAGAGGGAAGACACCTCGAACCCTGTCACTGGGTAAGAGCCCAGGATGTCCTTCCGATGCGAAGCCGCTGGCAGGGCCAGGTCCAGCGGCCGAGCAGTCTGGCGTCATTGGCCTCCCCCCGACGGGGCCCGCATCGGGGGGGGGTCCCCAGCCCCCATCAGGTTCTTCGGCGGCTCCTCCCAGCCGCCCCTCCCGTCGCCCGTCGGGTCACTGTTTGCGCCCATCAGGCCTCGCACCCGCGCGTTCAGAAGTTCGGTGTCCTCCTTAGCCTCCTGCGCCCCGAATCTCCGAAACTCTGGCACCGCCATGCCACTCGTTCCAGTCTCGCTTGCGAGGTAGCGAGCCGTGCGCCAATTGGCAAGAGCACCTGGCACCGAGCGCGCGCCCGTTACCTGAATCCGTCCCGCAAGCCGGCCCATCGTTCTTCAACCGCCCAGGTTCGACTGATCGTAGCATCGCGTCAACTGCAAAGTGGAGCAAAGGACTTTCAGCTCACGATAGATTATGCCATGACGCTCCACTCGGTGTTCACCATTCCAGTCGGACAGCCACCGAATCGGACCATCCCCGCTCCTGTACATGGCATTGCCGAAGTACCCCACTGAGAATGCCCACTCGATCGGGTCGTCTCGCTCACGGCGCCCCCCCTCCTTGCGACGCTCTCCGTGGCCGTCGAAGTCCACCACTGGTGTCCTGATGTCACCGGCGGCGATCGCACCCTGGTCGCGGCGCTCCTGGGCGCCCTCAGGCTTCTCCACCGATCCCAGGCCCAAGCGGTCCTTCACGGGGTCCTCCACGGCAGTGTCGCTGCGGGGGGTAGACGCGCCCAGAGTTCGCTGCCGCCACGCTATCTGCTCGCTGTCTCCCCGCGGCACGTCTCTCATCGCGACGCCGACGATCCGGCGCATCTCCGAGCCAAACAGGTTCAGCCAGCCCACGCCCTGAATCAGGTTGCCGAACGTCAAATACGCCTCCTCACCGATCGACTGGCCGCCTCCTGGCTCTTCCAGCACCATGACGGGGTCATCAGGGCGCGCCCCTGGAACAGCCGTTCATCCGTCTTCGTGGCGCTCCTGCAGTGTATGCCGAAGGTCTGTCCGATGGCTCGTCGGGTCCACGATGTGCCTAGGCCAGTAGGCCTCCGCCACCACGCCCGCAGCCCCGATGTCGCGGCAACTCCTTGCCCACGCGACGATGCGGTTCACGGGCGTTCTCTCTCGAAACCTATACGGCCGTCGTGATCCCAAGGGCGGGTAGCCGACGTCAAGAGGTCTCGATCCACTCGGTCCGTATTCTCGGCCCAAGCCGTCCATGCGCTGCTTCCAGAGGGCTCCATCAGGCGACTGCACCCACCCAACAGGCTCCTCGACGGCGGTCCTGTCACCCGCTGCCTGTCGAGCGGGCCAGATCATCAGCCCCGCGGGGTCTGCAGTGTCGTCGGAATAGCTGACTCTCGTGCGCGTCGCAGCGACCGCTTTGTCCAATACCCCCGCTCCCCAGCGCCGAGGCGCCACAGGGCGATGCGACCGCCATCCTGCGCACCAGCGACGGGCACGGCGCGGCGCCGTCTGCAACCGCCATGGCACAGCGCTCTGCCAAACAGCTGACTCAGCACCCACCACCGCGCCCCGATCCCCAGCGGCTGCTCTTCCCGCGGCCTTGGCGACGGGCAGACCTGCAGCGACGCCACGGGGCAGGTGGGCAGCTCGCCCTCGAAGCCCGCCGCGGGTGAGGGCACAGGCGCGGGGAGCGGCCCGCCCGCCGACCGATTGTGGTCGGCCTCCAGCTCAGAATCCCGAGCCTCGCGCGCGAGAGGCTCCTCACAGAGGTGAGCGCTCTGCAACCAGAGAATCACCCAGAATGGGTAGTTCGGCGGGACATAGGCGCCGACCATGTCCCCTCGACCCAAAAAAGGGTTTCGGATATATATATATATATATGTATATATATATATATATATATTTAACGTCACCCCATTCCCCGCGAATCATGTCCGTGCACGCTCCCCATCCTCCTCCTCCTCCTCCTCCTCCTCCTCATCATCATCATCATCATCAGCATTCTCATCCTCATCCTCATCCTCATCCTCATCCTCATCCTCATCATCGTCCTCTTCCTCCTCCTCCTCCTCCTCCTGCCCCTCCTGTTCCTCCTGCTCCTGCTCCGTCTCCCGTTCCTGCTCTGCCTGATCTTCCTGCTCCTCCTCTCTCCTCCCTCTCGTCTTCCTCCTCCTCCTCCTCCTCCTCCTCTTCCTCCTCCTCCTCGTCTTCTGCGCTTCCCCCGCAATGCCAGGACTCAAACAGATAGCGTTTGAGCCTGGTCCCCTGTTTCTCCTCCATTGTTTCTCTCGCGCAGCATCTTGGAGCCCTTTCATCCTCCTTGTCTCCTCCCCCATCCTGCCCCCGCCCCTGCTCCCCGCGCACTAATCGAGGCATCTCCACGATTTGCCTCAGCATGGCCTCCCCCGGATAACCACCAGCAGGTTACCATGGAATCGCGTTCGCGCCTCGGCGCCGGCTACCTCCTCCGTCGGGCCAGGGGAGCCCAGAGCTTCGAGGATCTCTCGGGCGAAACGGGCCAGACCACCTTGACCGCAGCATCTCGGAGCCCAGAATTGCGAGGATGTCTAGAGCGAAACGGGCCACACACCCTTGCGTACATTTTCTCCGATCTCAGAATTGCAAGGATATCTCAGCGAAACGAGCTCGAAGCTCAGGGGCGCGAGGATGTCTCAAGCGAAACGCGCTGGACCACCTCGCGCGCGACAGCTCGGAGCGCAGAGTTGCGAGGATGTCTTAGGCGAAACGCACAGGACCACCTCGCGCGCAGCGTCTCGGAGCTCAGAACTGGGAGGCTGTCTCGAGCGAAACGCGCCGGACCACCTCGCGCGCGGCAGCTCGGAACGCAGAATTGTGAGGATGTCTTCGGCGAAACGCGCCGGACCACATCTCGCGCAGCGTCTCGGAGCTCAGAACTGGGAGGCTGTATTAAGCGAAACGCGCCGGACCACCTCGCGCGCGGCAGCTCGGAACGCAGAATTGTGAGGATGTCTTCGGCGACACGTGCCAAACCACATCTCGCGCAGCGCCTCGGAGCTCAGAACTGGGAGGCTGTCTCGAGCGAAACGCGCCGGACCACCTCGCGCGCGGCAGCTCGGAACGCAGAGTTGTGAGGATGTCTTCGGCGAAACGCGCCGGACCACATCTCGCGCAGCGTCTCGGAGCTCAGAACTGGGAGGCTGTATTAAGCGAAACGCGCCGGACCACCTCGCGCGCGGCAGCTCGGAACGCAGAATTGTGAGGATGTCTTCGGCGAAACGTGCCAAACCACATCTCGCGCAGCGCCTCGGAGCTCAGAACTGGGAGGCTGTCTCGAGCGAAACGCGCCGGACCACCTCGCGCGCGGCAGCTCGGAACGCAGAATTGTGAGGATGTCTTCGGCGAAACGCGCCGGACCACATCTCGCGCAGCGTCTCGGAGCTCAGAATCGGAAGGATGTCTCAGGCGAAACGCGCCGGACCTCCTCGCGCGCGGCCTCTCGGAGTCCAGATTTCTGCGGATGTCTCAAAAGAAACGGCCAATCCCAGACACCGCAGAAACGAGCATTGTGGGAGTGTCTCAGGCGAAACGGCCCGGACCACCAGATTTTTGTTGAGGTTGTCTCTGCGCCCCTTTTCCTTGGCCGGAGCTCTCTTCTATCACCACAGCACCCCGTTCAGCAAGCTCTCTGGGGAACAAAGAGATGGAGCACAACCTGCCGAGAGAAGGATTCAGACAAGACGAAAAGAATGGCAGAGGAGAAGGGGAAAATGCAGCCGATCGCTCCCGTGTGATGGCGGTGATCAGTACCGCTTCTGCCCAGCGGGCGCAAAGTATGCTGTATCATATTGGCCGCTGCTGCTGGGGAGCTGCCATCTCAGCAGGCTCTTGCGGAAACCCTGAACACACGCGGTGAGCAGCGTCGATTCTAGATGTCCGTGAGCCTCGTCGCGGCATCCCAATGCGACGCTCACGTGTTGTTCCCGCTAATAATGCATCTGTGCTTCCAAACCAGGACCATGTCTGAGGTCAGCCTGCGACGCTCCCCCCCTCACCCCATAAGCTCGCCTTCCCTGCCGCGCGCCCTGCTGCGTCTCCCAGCACCCCCGCCGGGCGCCCCAGCTCAGACGCCGCGCAAAATGCCGCGACGGTCGCTGCAGGCGGCCTTCAGCGCCTGAGCGCCGTTGCCGCCGATGCCGTTCTCGGACAGGCTCAACAACCGTAGGCTGGGCATGGAGGGCAGCGCCCCCGCCAGGACCCGGGCGCCGGCGTCGCCGATGCCGTTGTCGCGCAGGACCAGCGTCTGCAGGCGGGGCATGGAGGGCAGCGCCCCCGCCAGGGCCTGCGCGCCGTCGCAACCGATGCCGTTGTCTTGCAGGTGCAGCTCCTTCAGGCCGGGCATGGAGGGCAGCGCCCCCGCCAGGACCTGCGCGCCGGCGTCGCCGATGCCGTTCTTCCACAGGTTCAGCTCCTGCAGGCCGGGCATGGCGAGCAGCGCCCCCGCCAGGGCGTGCGCGCCGGCGTCGCCGATGCCGTTGTCGCGCAGGTTCAGCACCCGCAGGTGGGGCACGGAGGGCAGCGCCCCCGCCAGCACCTCCGCGCCCGCAGGGCCAATCTTGCAGTTCATCAGGTGCAGCTTCTCCAGGCGAGCGCACAGCCGCAGGCAGCCGGCGAGACCCGCGGCCTGCTCGGGGGTCGGGGGCGGCATCCCGTCGAGGTCCAGCTTCGTCACGCTGCCCAGCTGCGCGCGGCTCATCCGGCGGAAGAGCGCCTTCACCGCCTCCCGATCCGAGCCGTTGGTGAAGGTCCTGTCCTCGATGAGCCGGTCGAACTGGTCTGGGCCCATTGGCCACCCCCTCCCAGCCGCTGCCGCCCCCGCCCCGTGCCCCAGATCGGCCACGGCGGACCACTCTGCGTCCTCGCGATACACCTTCTTGAGCTGCTCTGCGGAGCAGCGCTCGTACGTTGTCCAGCCCGACTGGTCGTAGCCAAACTCGCGCGTGCTGCCCCGCTCGCGCGGGTGCTGGGTGAGCAGGAGGACGGTGGTGGCTTGGTGGGCGTACCACAGGTCCATCGTCTCCTGCAGGCCGTGCTGGAACGCGGCCTTCTCGGCGGGGGTCCGATAGGCCTCGTCCGAGGCCTCCTGCGCGTCCTTCTTGGTTTTGCCTTCTTGCAGGGCGGCGGCCCTCGCCGTCTCGGCCTTGTCGCGGTCGCCCTGCAGCAGCGAGGCCCAGTCCCAGAACACGCCTATCTCACTGAACCCCTTGAAGGACCAACAGGCTCTGGAGTACTTGCGGCGCTCCTGCTCTAGGGTGTCTATCACCAAGCTCAGCTGCACCCCATTGGGATCGGGATGCTCGCGCGAGTCCCAGCAGAACGAGATGCTGATGATCGGCGCCACCTGGTCTCTTCCTCCTCGCCCGCTGGCGTCCCAGACGGCCCGCAGCTCGTCCGCGGACACAAACGCCTCCTCCGGCAGTTCCTGGCGCCGCTTCAGGACCGTACCGCGCTGCTGCAGCAGCCACGACATGCGGACCAGGCGCACCGGGTGGAGGCCCTCCACGGTGAACGCGAGCGCGTCGAAGAGGCTCGCGGCGTCCGTGTACCGCGTCGGGTCGAAACACACCTCCTCTAATGGGCAACGATAGGGGGGGGGACTGGCATAAGGGGATGCATCGACATGGAATCGGCGATACATCGCCGATGGATCGGCGATAGGCCCCTGATAGTGAATCCGCACCTTCCTGGGCAGGTTGGGGCTATCAGGCCCCTATCGGCGATCAGTGGGCGATTGCGTGTCGATGCATGCCCCCCTGTGCCTTATCCCCCCCCCGATCGTTGCCCCCGATCCTCCTCCTCTTTGGAAGCCTGCTGCTGCTGCTGCTGCTGCTGCTGCGTCTGCTCCTCCTCCTCCTCCTCCTCCTCCTCCTCCTCCTCCTCCTCCTCCTCCTCCTCCTCCTCCTCCTCCTCCTCCTCCCATCATATCACATCATCATCATCATCATCATCATCATCCATCATCATATCATCATCATCATCATCTCCTCATCATCGTCATCATCTCCTCCTCCTCCTGCTCCTCCTCCTCTCCTCCTCCTCATCTCCTCATCTCCTCATCTCCTCCTCCTCCTCCTCCTCCTCCTCCTCCTCCTCCTTCCCCGTCCCCCTCCTCCCCCCACTCCTCCTCCTCCTCCTCCTCCCTCCTCCTCCTCCTCCTCCTCTCCTCTCCTCCTCCCCCTCCTCCTCCCCCTCCCCCTCCCCCTCCTCCCCCCCCTCTCCTCCCCCCTCCTCCCCCCCCTCCTCCTCCTCCTCCTCCTCCTCCTCCTCCTCCTCCTCCTCCTCCTCCTCCTCCTCCTCTCTCCTCCTCCTCCTCTCCTCCTCCTCCTCCTCCTCCTCCTCCTCCTCCTCCTCCTCCTCCTCCTCCTCCTCCTCCTGCTGCTTCACGGGCGCCTCCGGCGACTGGGGCAGGGCGTCGCTCTCCTGATGGCCCGCGGGCACGGGCACCCCCTCGAGGCCCGGCGCGTGCGGAGGCGGTCCGCCGGCCTGGCGGGAGGCCATGCAGCAGCCCATCGCGTCGGGGGGGAGGGAGGAGGAGGAGGAGGAGGAGGAGGAGGAGGAGGAGGAGGAGGAGGAGGAGGAGGAGGAGGAGGAGGAGGAGGAGGAGGAGGAGGAGGAGAGGAGGAGGAGGAGGAGGAGGAGGAGGAGGAGGAGGAGGAGGAGGAGGAGGAGGAGGAGGAGGAGGAGAAGGAGGAGGAGGGGAGGAGGAGGAGGAGGAGGAGGAGGAGGAGGAGGAGGCAGGAGGCACGAGAAGCGCTCGCGCCTGCTCCCAGAGCTGCGTGCAGTCGTGGAAGCTTGAACCAAAATGGCCACGGATGGAGCGGACCGCAGGATATGACGTCGAGGCCTCTGATGCCGAGACGGAAAACTTGCTCAGGGTATAGTTTCGACCAATGAGTTGGAGGCTTGGAAATGGGCACCGGCACCAAAGCAGGGTGTTGCGTCTACGGGGGGAGGAGGACCCCAGATTCGGGCGTTGGTGATGAGACTTAGGCCACCCAGGAGGCCCAACTATTGCCACCATCGCCGAGATCGGGATCGTCTTCCCTCGGTGGAGGGACACCGCCGATGCTGGTGGCGGTGCCAACCTCGTTGCCTCCGAAAGAGGGCCGCGCTGGGATTCACACCTCGCCAGGCTCCCGCCCGTCGGGAAAACAAGCGCGGATGGATGCCTGTGTCCGTGTTCGGCCCCCAAGGCCCCTCACAGGGCCCCGGGACTGCCAGAATATAGCTCGGGATGAACAGCTGACGCCGGGGAAGAGGTCCAGACCTCCAGGGAGCCACGTGGCGGAGCGAAAGACGACATCGGAGCTCTGGGTCCATCGGGGGGAGGAGGACCGTGCGATGCGACGTCTCCAGGGGAACGAACAATGACATAAACATCAAAACTCGGAGGTCCGCGCGGATTTCTCGGGTCGGCGTTCGACCCCCCTCCCTGGCGCGCGGAGCGCGCCAGGGGCGGCGCCAGAGGCGCCGCCAGAGGGGTCCAGCGCGGATCCGAGAAATCCGCGCGGACCTCCGAGTTTTTATGTTTATGTCCTTCTCGAGCGCGGAAGATACCCTGCACCCCTTCTTTTTTTGTATGCTTATGACCTTCAGAGCAACATCCCTCGAAACCAAGTTTTCCAGACGGCGGCACGAACAGCATACTGCACTGCAGCATTTTCATAAGAAACCTGGACACAAGCCCGAAAAGCATGCAAGACCCCCCCCCAACATCCGGACACAGACCCGAGTCCGGCGGCGCAGCCAACAGAAAAGGCACAGGTGCTGGAAAATGTGACTTTGCAGAAAGAGGTGCCGTTTCTTTGGTTTCACGTGTCCTGGTTTATCTGTGTCCTGGTCTCCGGGTGCCACGCTGGAAGAGCCCGCCTCTGCTGCGCCAATCCTGCGGGGCCCAGGCATTTACACCACCGCCACCTCCCTCACCCCCTCCCTCTCCCAGGAGAGGAGGAGGGCAGGACGGAAGAGAGGGCAAGCAGAGGAGGGAGGAATCGACGCGGTGGTGGTGTATGTGCTTGGGGGCCCGCGAGTCCGCCGACGTGCCTCCGCGACGTGGGCGCGTTGCAAGTGCTCCTGTGGTCCCTCTGGTCGGGGAGACGTAAGACCCGGGTACGGGGGACTCGGAAATCCCCGACGAGGTCGTCAAAAAAATGACGAGGCCGAGCCTGCATTTTGACGAGGCCTCCCGCTGCAGACATCCCACGAAACTCCTCCTCGTCAAAATCCGAGGCGCGGTCGTCAAAAAACGGTGGCGAACCCGAGTCCCGGCAAACCCGGGTCTTACGCTCCCCCGATCTGGGAGTGTTCTCGGCTACACGCAAGAGTGACCCTGGGTAAGAGTGGCCTTGGGTGCGCGGCCTTTTGGAATCTGCGCGAGGACCAACACACAAGCGCGCAAGGCGCATACTGTCGCACCGCGATCGGCCATCGGGGGACCCCAATGGGCCCGCACCACAGGTCACTCCGGCGAAAGGTCACTCTTGCGTGCAGCCGATGTTCTGAGGCCGACCCCCTCCCCGGTTCGCACGCGCATGCGTCATTGCACCAGCCTTGCAGACGTGCTGCAGCGGATTTCTACGTAGATTTCTGTGGATGCCTGCCCGAAACGGCGAGCGAAAAACGAAGTGACTTTCGCGTGGATTTTGTTTGGTCTTCGCTCCTGGCCAAACAGATCCGCGCGAAATCCACCTCGAAATCCGGAACGAAATTCTCCAGAACACTCTGGGCCCATCATATCGTTTTCCGAACCAAATCCGCTCTGCGATGTTGGCGCCATGACAGGCGTAGACCGTCCCCCCCTGAACTCGCTGACTGGCGCTCTCTTCGACCTCCAGGCGGCCAAGATGGCCTCCAAGACGGCTTCCCGGCTTCCCAGACAGCCAGGACGACACCCAAACGGCTTAAGATGGCTCAAGACAGCTCAAGAGGCTCTCAAGACGGCCTCAAGACAGCCCAAGAGGCTCCCAAGACGGTCCAAGAGGGCTCTAAGGCGCTCTCCGGGAGAGCCCGAGGAGGCAGCGATCCCAGATGTTCATGTGATTTTGGCAAGAGTCTGAAGGTGCTCGCCTCGCCCAGGCCGGCCCCAAATGCCTCCAAGATCCGCCACCGCGCCTCTGGGCACGAAGTGGGCGTGTCCTCAGGCCCCTTGCCCAATCCCCTGAGCCTCAGTCCACAGACCCGATGTGCTTTTTTAGGGTTGCGTCGGGCCTGTCACCCTCCAGGGGGATTTTCGACGACAAATAAAAAATACTACAAAAATACTCCCAAAGGGCCAAACAGGGCTCAAAACATAGTCCCCAGACTATTTTTGGACTATTTCTGAACTACTTTTGGGGGGGTATATTTGCTATTTCTCGTCCAAAAACCCCCTGTAGGGGGGCAGGCCCGACTTCATTTTAGGGGCCCGGGCCCTGAATTCTTACGCCTCCACGCGCTTGGCGCGTGCCCCGTGGGCTCCGGTCCGGCGAGCCCCCCCGCGCGACTTCGAAGAGGCCCCCGAGAGGGTCCCGAGGCGGCCCCCGCGGGGGCTCCAAGAGGCCGCGAAGTCCGTCCAGGGGGGGGGCCCCGAGACGCCCAGTGATCGCTCTCCAGGACGACTAAGACGGGCCCCCAAGAGGCCCAGGAGGCCCCCAGGATGCCCCAGGAGGCCTCCCGAGAGAGCCCCAAGAAGCCAACATCGTCAAGTGTCCTTAGGTTTTTAGAACATGTTTGGGGGAGATTTCCGACTCTCCAGGACGGCCCAAGAGGCCCCCTCCTCCTCCTCCTCCTCCTCCTTCGCCTCCTCCTCCTCCTCTTTCTCCTCTTTCTCTTTCTCTTTCTCTTTCTCTTTCTCTTTCTCTTTCTCTTTCTCTTTCTCTTTCTCTTTCTCTTTCTCTTTCTCTTTCTCCTCCTCCTCCTCCTCCTCCTCCTCCTCCCAAGACCAGCCCCAAACGGCCCAAGAAGCCCCAAAAGGGCCCCAAGACGGCCTAAAAGCTCCCCAAATCGGCCCAAGAAGCGCCAATGACGGCCCAAGAGGGTCCCAAGACGGCCCACAAAGGGACCCAAGAGAGGGAACACGAATTGAAAATTCAAGCCTTCCAGCCCCAGATGCCCCCAGGAAGCCCCAAAGAGGCCCAAAGAGGCTCCAAAACAGCCCCCAAGAGGCCGCCAAACTTTCTCCAAGATGCCCCCGAGAGGCATCATCCCACGAGATCCCAACGAACATCCAATAGGCTTCATACCCACAACCCAGGCATGGTGGGATGGGCCGAAAGCCATTCGATCCGCCTGTTTGTTTATCACAGGGGTGCCTGGCGTGCTAGATCCTATGGCTTGGTTTTGGTTCTTTGCCAAACAGCTCCCCCTGGGGCTTCGGTCCATGCCGCCAGCCACCCGGAAGGCCCCGCCGCGCAACCAACGTCTCCAAGACGGCCTCGATGGCCTCCAAGACAGCCAAGATGGCCCAAGATGGCCTCCAAGTTCGCCCAAGATGATCCAAGATGGTCTCCAAGACGGGCCAAGAGGGTCCCAAATGCCTCTAAGTCCGCCCAAGAAGCCGCCCAGGCGGCCCAAAATGGTGCTAAGAGGCCCCCAAGAAGCCTCCAAGACGGCCCAAGTGGCCCCCAAGAGGTCCTCCAGGAGGACCCGGAGAGGCCAAAATCTTTGTTTGTCGTTAGGTTTTTGAAAGATGTTGGCATTTGCTTCTTGTCGGCCTTCCGGCGGCCCAAGATGGCCCAAGAGGCCCCCAAAAATCAGCCCAAGATGGCCCCCAAAAGCCTCCAGGATGGCCCCAGGACGGCTCAGGAGGCCCCCAGGACGGCCCGGAGTGGTGGCCCCAAGAAGGCCCACGAGGCCTCTATGACGGCCGAGATGGTCTGAAGCGCCCCAACCGAGACAACCCCCGACGGCGCCAGACGGCCCGGGACCGTCCGAAGCCGGCCAAAGAGGCCCCGAACAAGCCCCCCAAAGCCCGCCCAAGAGGACGACGGAGACCCTCAAAAGTGCCTCCAAGAGGCTCCCAGAAACTCCCAGGAGACCCCAAGAATGCCCCAAGAGGCTCCCAAGAGGTCTACTCCTCTTCCTCCTCCTCCTCCTCCTCCTCCTTCTCCTCCCTTTTCCTTCTTCTCCTCACTCTCCTCTTCCTCACGTGTTCTCCGAAAGGTTTCAACGACGGCTGGAGGAACGCATGGTCAGATAGCTTGGCCAAGCTCTAGCCCAACCTTCGGCCACGTAGGCGCTTCCCAAAAAACAAGAGGCGGCGGTGATTTACCGTAGGCGTCTTCGGTAGGAGATCCTTCGTAATGAATCTGTTGTAAGGAATTATTCTTCGAATTGTTAATAAGGAATCCTTGGTCAGGACTCACTAAAAACCATTAACCATTGCTACAGAACCCTTGCAGGATAATGCTGTCAGGAATCCGTATTGAAACACCTCGGATATATCTTCCTTTGCAAAGGGATCCGTAATACGGGCGCATGGGTACAGAACCCCTCGTACAGTACGGAATCCTTAGTGAGGAATCCTCAGGAAGGGGTCATTAGTAAGGAACACTTGATGAGGAATCCTTGGTGAGGAGTGTTAC